ATTTCGGTATTTATTTTTTAAATTTTATTTATCAGATAATAAATATTATTTTAAGCTATTATTGCAAATTATTTAAATATTTACTTAAGATTTTATATTTGGCTAAAAATTTTATTAATTGAGTTATTAATTAATTATATTTAAGTTTTATAAATACGACAACTACTGGATCTGAATATTTATTATTTATATCAATTGAAATGATTTTATATGAAATTCTTATTGTTTTTCATTATACAGTTCTATAATTTAAATATGTTTTTAAGTTTTTCCTATTTATCACTGAATATTAAGTCTGAAATATTTTTATTGAATTTCTAATGAAAACAAGTAAATCATCGAAACATTTGAGCATCACATCAATTGCCATCAAATCTGTATTTTTGAATATATCAAACAATTGTTGTTCACTATATACGAGTCGAGTACTTGTGATGACAAATGATTTATAATGATTTGTCTAAACAGATCGATAATCGATTTAATAATTTTACAAACTGGGCATTTGTTTGAGAAAATAAAGCATTGTTTTAGTGCCAAAACAATAGTTAATTTAAATGTATTGATAAATGGAGAAATGTATTGAGTTTTGTGAAGAATGTGAGCCCAGGTTATCAATGTCCTCTCAAATACTATTTGATCCCTAATTAATGTTTTACTCAATCGACTCACAACATGCGAATTGAATCTGATACTCATAGCTAACTTTAAAAGTATATATGAGGTCCTAATAAGTGATGTGACCCTAACTTCTTGCGCGTAAACCAATTGATACTAATATATGAATGAGTGGTGAGGAAGTGGGTGTCAATTGTTACGGGACTTCTAGTGAACAGAACTCATGTCTTCTAATCACTTCTTAAGCAAGTGATGGTCGGTAATGAGTGCTAAGAGACATATGACTAGAATCGGTGTGAATGACACCACTCATAGCGGTAGTAGTGAGAGGTGACAGGAGTGACCACTTGTAGAAAGTGTCAAAACTTTGTGAGTGCTGTTAAATGGCTCGCTATGAATGCATTGAATCATTGATTGATTGTTGAATGACTGCATGAATGGTGAACTCGAGCCCAGTGTTCAGGTGTAGAGTAGTATGAATAGTGTAGTACTGTAGTAGTGGTATACTGTACTGTATTAGTGCTGTGTGGCAATGCATGTACTGCACAGTTCATGCAGTAATAGTGTCGACGAGTGTAATGCTTATGCATTGGTGTATGCATTGGCGTAATGCTGGTTATGCTTGTAATGGTGTAATACCTGTTAGTGTGTTGGCACTGGCAGTGGTTGTGTGGCAGTGCACTGTTGGGCAGTAGTGGTAGGGCTGGCATTCGTGTATGTTTGGTGTAGTTGTGTTCATTGGCATCGCTGTCAGTATTGTTCATACTGCTTGTGTCCACGTTTGCCATTAATTGTCGACTCTGTGTAGCGTTCATCTCATCCTCTTTCATGTCTTTGATGTCCTGTTGATGTGAGACATATCTGTACTCTAACTGTGCTCTCACTGTACTCGTCGTCCATGTATGGTATGTGTGACTGTCTGTCAGGTGTGTTAGATCTGTCCCATCCATTCTGAAGACCATAGTTGACATCCAGATTGTGCGAGCGTCTCAACACAAGGCATGTCTTAGTAACCATCCATTGACTCACGAGTCGATTCAATGCCAAACAAATGAATGCAAAGTCATTGCAATCGATATAACAGTAAAGTAGAGAATAAGCGCAACAAGTATTGCATGTATTGANTTGTGCGAGCGTCTCAACACAAGGCATGTCTTAGTAACCATCCATTGACTCACGAGTCGATTCAATGCCAAACAAATGAATGCAAAGTCATTGCAATCGATATAACAGTAAAGTAGAGAATAAGCGCAACAAGTATTGCATGTATTGATAGCCAACTGAGAGACCAATCCATTGAATCGATTGACACGATCGCCACGACTGATCCGTTGCCGGCACCCATCACCACGTCGTCCACAATGAGTGCGAACAACACGGGGAACGCCGTCTCTCCCCAACCGGTCGTAATGGTGACCAACAACGGGGTCCGCGAGCCGGACGGCGACGCCATTAAGATGTTTGTCGGACAGATCCCACGCGATTGGAGTGAATCCGATTGTCGCAGACTTTTCGAGGAGTTCGGCGAAATCCACTCAATCAATGTGTTGCGAGACAAGCAGTCCGGACAGAGTAGGGGCTGTTGTTTCGTGACGTACTACACGCGCCGGTCGGCCCTCCAGGCGCAGGACGCCCTCCACAACGTGAAGACCCTGACATCGATGCACCACCCAATCCAGATGAAGCCCGCCGACTCCGAGAACAGGAATGAACGCAAACTCTTCGTCGGCATGTTGTCCAAGAAGTACACCGAATCGGACGTACGGCTCATGTTTGCCGCCTATGGAAACATCGAGGAGTGCACTGTCTTGAGGGACACCAACGGCCAGAGCAAAGGTAGGGCTCAGTTCATAGCTTTGTCTTATTATTATCTTATTGTATGCCATGACTGTTTCATAATCACTGACCACTGGTGTGTCTGCCATAGGCTGTGCTTTTGTCACCTTTTCGACCCGTCAGTGTGCCATCAATGCCATCAAAGCCATGAATCACTCGCAAACAATGGAAGGCTGTTCGTCGCCTCTTGTGGTGAAGTTTGCGGACACACAACGAGATAAAGACGCGCGAAGGCAGCAGCAGATACTGATGCAACAGTTGTGTCACTCATCGCAGCCCAACCCGGCGGCGGCGACGTTAGCGGCGGCCGCAGCGAACCCCTACCTGGCACTGGCGGCCGCGGCGGCAGCTCAACAGCAACAGGTCCAGCAACAGGCGCAACAGCAACAGAACGCATTGGCCGCGGCCGCCACTCTCGCCATTCAGCAACAACTCGTCTCTTCGATGAACTCGACCCCCGAGTTGTCTCTGGCCGCTGCGGCCGCAACACTGGCCGCCTCTAACCCCATGATGTTGGCCGCCCTCTGCGGCAGTGCCACCAATAACTCGAATAACCCGACGGGCAGTTCGACGCCTCAGCAACAGCAGCATCTCAACGGTTCCAGTGATCTATACAGCACTTCAGCGAACCAACACCAACAGCACCAGACCTTTTCCAACTTCGGCTTGGGAGGTGCGGGTCAGCAAACTCTGGCCCAGTTGGCAGTACAGGCAGCACAACAGCAGAACAGTCTGGCGCTGTCCCACAACAACGGCACGGGCGGCGGCAAACAGACGGAAGGGCCGGACGGCGCAAACCTTTTCATATACCACTTGCCGGCTGAGTTCGGCGACACAGACCTCGCGTCGACGTTCTCTCCATTCGGAAATGTATTGTCGAGTAAAGTATTTATAGACAAACAGACAAATCTGTCGAAATGTTTCGGATTCGTGTCGTACGACAACCCCATCTCAGCACAAGCGGCCATTCAAGCCATGAATGGCTTCCAAATCGGCACTAAACGACTCAAAGTCCAACTCAAGCGAAGTAAAGATAAGCCATATTAGTGTTGTTAGCGTTGTAGCACCGGTAGTGTCATTGCTGTCCACAGACATGACATCCCTTTTTCTGTATTGTTTGTTATGTGACTATTGAGACAAATGGTCGAAAAGTTTGTTTCGTTTGCTTTACTCAGAGTTTTATTTGATTTTTTGGACAAATTTATAATAACTTATCGTTGAATTGCGGACCAAATATTGCACTAAATTTATAAATATATTTGAATATAATATAAATATACTGTAAATGATATGATAACTGAACAGAACTGTCCTCAAAACGCCTTTAATGAGCAAAACTGCTTAACAAACAAATACGACAATAGCCTTACATAACTTCCTTATCCGCACCGGATATTATAAAACATATGTAACTCATTGTCCAGTGATTGATGAATTTCTCATTGATTATGAATTAATATTTAAATAATGACTCAACATGTGCTCACTTTTTGAAAGCAAAACTATATGATTTCAATTCAAACATTATTCTAGTCTTATATAACCCTTCGGTCAGACGTTATAAAAGAGCCAGAATTTACACAAATTTCCAATTATTGACATATATTCTGATTGAATGTTTCGATACAAATACAATTCAATTCTATAGAAAGTTCACATTCAGAGCTTTTATTGGATGAGAGCAACGGTAGCTTATATTATATTTTGTTATTTTTATTAATTTAATTATATTATTATTATTATTATGAATTTAAAGTCGTTAGCATTGATTGCTTTGATGTTATATTTGAGCCGAAAGTCGATAATAATCTGATTTATGAAAACGTTTTTATAAATGATTTACTAATGATAGGACAGTATGTTCGGTATGTTAGCCGACATGTATTGTTAATTCTGATGAATAGGAAAATCGTCACAACATATCACATATCATACCTCATATGTCGGTCCCATTGCAAGCATTTAAAGCTCAATCGACTTACCGGTACCGGTATTCCTATTATTTCGGTATTTATTTTTTAAATTTTATTTATCAGATAATAAATATTATTTTAAGCTATTATTGCAAATTATTTAAATATTTACTTAAGATTTTATATTTGGCTAAAAATTTTATTAATTGAGTTATTATTTCGGTATTTATTTTTTAAATTTTATTTATCAGATAATAAATATTATTTTAAGCTATTATTGCAAATTATTTAAATATTTACTTAAGATTTTATATTTGGCTAAAAATTTTATTAATTGAGTTATAAATTAATTATATTTAAGTTTTATAAATACGACAACTACTGGATCTGAATATTTATTATTTATATAAATTGAAATCATTTTATATGAAATTCTTATTGTTTTTTCATTATACAGTTCTATAATTTAAATATGTTTTTAAGTTTTTCCTATTTATCACAGAATATTAAGTCTGAAATATTTTTATTGAATTTCTAATGAAAACAAGTAAATCATCGAAACATTTGAGCATCACATCAATTGCCATCAAATCTGTATTTTTGAATATATGAAACAATTGTTGTTCACTATATACGAGTCGAGTACTTGTGATGACAAATGATTTATAATTATTTGTCAAAACAGATCGATAATCGATTTAATAATTTTACAAACTGGGCGTTTGTTTGAGAAAATAAAGCATTGTTTTAGTGCCAAAACAATAGTTAATTTAAATGTATTAATAAATGGAGAAATGTATTGAGTTTTGTGAAGAATGTGAGCCCAGGTTATCAATGTCCTCTCAAATACTATTTGATCCCTAATTAATGTTTTACTCAATCGACTCACAACATGCGAATTGAATCTGATTTTTGATTATAAAAAAGGTTTTTGCGTTAAAAATATTGGAGAAAAAGTATTTAAAAAGTTTTAATAATTATTTGTTATAATTGTATTTATATGAACAAAATGTTTGATGTATTTAAATGTTTTGTAAACAAGGTGTTAATATGGGATAACTCTTATTCTCATACTTTTATATATAATTATTATAATTACTATTCTATTGATATGTTATAAAGCATTTAATTGTAATGGTTTGTGGTGTGAAAACTTTAATTAATGTTATTTCAAGTAATTATTCATTTCTATAGACATAACTGTATTGACGATACGATTGCTTACATTATTCTCGATATTCTGTGCGTCCGGTTGTGTTCATTGCTATTATCGGTGTTATTGTTGTTTTCAATGTGCGATACGTAAACACAAAGTAATATTAAATATTGAGATCTTAAACAACAACCAATTAGCAAAAATCAGCTATTTTTGACATAAGCTTAATCTCATTCAAAACACAAAATGATTAAACATTTATATCTTTTGGGAAATTTTCGAAATAAACATCAATTCGTTTAAAACACTTGTCTTTTAATTATTCATCAAAAATCATAATTCTTTGGTTTTCAATTGCAATTAATGCCATGGAGTGGACATCGATATTAATTATATTGGATGCTACCCAGAATATGCATACTCAACGGCTAGTATATTATACAAAATTGGTATTTACGGTAATACTAATCATTTCATATAACTCTACTTATTCTATACTTAATGTACTGTATAACTTACTATATAATATATATTTTAGAATATTCTTTAGAATATTTTTCATATTTTATAATTCTTTAGTAATAATATAGAGGTACTGTATTTACAGTTTAATTGATATTACAGTTATTATAGAATAAGTTATGGTTAATCTCTGAATTAAATGAAATAATGACATAATTGACATAATAAGGTAATGTAATAGCATAATAAATGAAAAATAATACTGTACCATGGATCGATTTATACTTTATTAATGTCTGTCATCTACTTTTACAACTTAGAGATCTATTTTCAGGAATATTCTGGTTGGTGTGAAGACAACACTGAACGCCACACATGGGATGTGTTGACAACTGACCACCGATTCATCGCTTGCACCACTCATTCAGCCAATTATGATCTCTTAGTCGCAACGCATCACCATTTAAGACGATCACCCACAAGAGATTACCACTGATTATCACCACATCATGTCTACGAGAAGGTCTGAATTGCGTGATTAGCATGTCTTTGATTATCAATGATTGCAGTGACGGTCACATTGTCTGCAGTTGTCATTCAATCGCTGATTGAATACCAATTGAAGGCATGATTTGCGTGAATATGCATTGAATTGCGGGATGGGAGGGGAAGGGAGGGCAGCGTAGGTGAGGGTTGGCGTGGATGTAGTGCTGACAGTGAAGTGTAGGTGTGATGTGAAGGATGTGTTAGTAATTGTGATTATGTATGATGTGATGACAGTCACGGGCGATGGTTTCACCCAAACATCTCGGGAGTGGACGCGGAGAAGATGTTGATGGAGAGGGGCTTTGAGGGGAGTTTCCTGGCGCGGCCCTCGAAGTCCAATCCGGGAGACTTCACGCTATCGGTGCGACGCAACGGTCAGGTGACGCACATAAAGATCCAGAACACGGGTGACTACTACGACCTCTACGGCGGCGAGAAGTTCGCCACTTTGGCTGAATTGGTTCAGTACTACATGGAAAACATGGGACAACTGAAGGAGAAGAACGGCGAAGTGATTGAACTCAAGTTTCCCCTCAACTCGTCGGATCCGACATCCGAGCGCTGGTTTCACGGCCCGCTGTCCGGCAAAGACGCCGAGAGACTGGTCCTGGAAAAGGGCAAAAACGGCAGTTTCTTAGTGCGCGAGAGTCAGAGCAAACCCGGCGATTACGTGCTCACCGTACGTACCGACGACAAAGTCACTCACGTTATGATCCGATTTCAGGACAATAAGTTCGATGTCGGCGGTGGAGATAAGTTCGACTCTTTGAGCGATTTGGTCGAACACTACAAGAAGAACCCAATGGTCGAGACCACGGGAACTGTTGTCCACGAGTTCTTGGGTAAGTTACGGTGGGCTTAGTGACGGAGTTGGTAGCTCTTGTCTCAGTTTCACAACTGGTTTCTCTTGCAGGTTTTGAAGCCTTTTCGGCCGAAAACCCTCCTTAAGCTCCAAACGTTCGTTTCACTCATATTTTACTGCTTTATGTTTAATGCATTTACCGGTGATTATAATGACATGATTGTAATACTGTATGAATGTGACAGTATTTGCAACAACAAGAATGCAAACATCTATTATCCAGAAAAGAGGGACAGAAACCTGAGAATAGAGCCAAAAATCGGTACAAAAATATTCTTCCCTGTATGTGATGAGTATCTCATTGTTTGTGCGATTATCTCATTGACTACTTATTGACACATTTATTATGATTGAATAGTCGATTACACGCGCGTACTGCTCAGAGAGGTGGACAATACCATCGGCGCCGACTATATCAACGCTAATATGATTACTGTATGTTTAATGTTTGAATTGATGGCTGATTGTGACGATGCGATGCAATAATACACAGATTGATGACGAGAATAACAGTCCGGATAACAACAGAAAGAGATATATTGCAACTCAGGGTCCGCTGACCAACACATCCGGTGACTTCTGGTGGATGGTATGGCAGGAGAACTGCGCCGTTATTGTGATGACCACTAAAGAGATAGAAAGAGGCAAAAACAAATGTGTCCGCTATTGGCCCGATAGGGGACAGACCAAAGAGTTCGGCAAAATTGTGGTCAAAACCATTAGTGAAAAGCCGACCATTGATTACACGTTAAGGGAATTCTCGGTTTGCAAAGAGAGCGACAATTCAATCACTCGGACTATATATCATTACCACTTCACCGCTTGGCCCGATCACGGCGTGCCCTCCGATCCCGGATGTGTTCTTAACTTTCTTCACGACGTGAACCGGAAGCAAGAAGCCATTGATGACGCCGGCCCTGTCATTGTCCACTGCAGGTGTGACCCATTTTCTCACTTAAATGTTTCCATAATTTCATATGAAATTCAACGAACACTTAATAAAACTTTGCTTTTAAATGACAATTGAATATATTTAGCGCCGGTATTGGAAGGACTGGTACTTTCATAGTTATCGACCAAATAATAGAACAAATCAAAAGACATGGACTCGACTGTGAAATAGATATTCAAAGAACTATACAAATGGTTCGTTCCCAGAGGTCTGGTATGGTTCAGACCGAAGCACAATATAAGTTCGTATACCTTGCGGTTCAACACTATATCGAGACATTACAGCAAAGGATTCTCGCCGAACAGGTATTGCTTTCATTGCTATTTCCATTGAATCTGATTTTAAAGTTTAATTCATTGCAATTGATAAACCCGTGATTGATATACCAGTAGAATTATAATGACTAAAACTAGTAAAATGACCAAGCATGCAGTATATCTTATAACCGGTATCTGTACCGGTATTCATAAATGATCTACGTTAGTTATAAAAGTGATATTTTTAGTTTTCAATTTGTTAACGGTACTTTGTTTGTGAATTGTGTGTAAATCATTGACTAATTGAACCAATATTGCTAATTAATAACCATTATAATGATTAAATGAACCTGTACATGTATGCTTATTGCCTGTTCACAGAAAAGTCTACAGGCGGGCCGGGAGTACACCAATATTAAATACACGAGCGAAGCAGCCGCTGGTTGTGATACGAATAAGTTGACGTCCCAAACATCCCGTCCCGCATCGGTTGGCAACAACTCGTTTGTCGGCTCTGACAGGAGTTTAGTTCGGTAAGTCTGTTTGTGATGAGATTACGGCTGATTTCATTTCCTTTGCAGTGGTGTTTACCGTACTTATCCAGAATAAACTTTACTTACCGTAAAAATCGTTTCAAATATAAGAATTGATTATGTAATTAAAACCAAAGTCTAATAAATTAATTTGCAAACTTTCATCAAATTGTTGGTATAATTGTGTATAAATTGTGCCCTGATCATACTGTGAATAATGTACAGAATTGACAGTAAGTAACATAGAGTAGAATAACTGTAACAGTATGATGAATACAGTTACGTAACGTGATATGTGAATGGCGCGTCCGTAAAGGGTGTGAGTGAGTGGTTTGGCGTATAGTGTAATACATGTAGTGTAGCTCAAGTGCATTGAGTGGAGAGCGAGTGAGTGAGTGAGTGGTTAGTGTTGAGCGAGTGTGCGAACCCTGAAAATGGCGTTTATTATGCATTGACTTCACCCTCAACAGCATTATTTGTCATTTAATTATTTGTATTATTATTGTTTCAATCAAACCACTCATTGAGCCATCACTGCGAGCCATTAAGACACGACAAGTCTGTGGTGATGAACGAATTGGATAGTCTCAGACAGGAGGCCGAGACCCTCAAGAACACCATCAGAGTATGTCTTCATTCATACATTCATTACCATTACCAGTGTATACATTATCACATACCTCTGCCCCCACCACCCACTACACCCACACCCACCACCACCACATGCATGCCACCACCACTCCCTACCACCTGATTGTTGTCTATGCATATAGTTGCCCGGCTCACTTCCGCCCCCCCACTGCACCAATTAGCCTGCAGCACTACCTGACCAGTTGTGTCATACGGCTTACCAATTGTGTCCCAATATTATCTATGATATGATAGTAATGTCTTAAAGGCATGATTTCATGTCACTTAATGAGTGCATGTATTCATGTATTTATGATAAATATTGACATTACTGACAGGCCTACATATCATTTTCACATAAGTAAGTATTTTACAAACGAGTGTTATTCAAGTTAGTTTTGCTGTTAGGATACTTATAACTGTCAATCACACGCTAACGAAACCCTATACTGTTGTAAATGTATTGATATATTGATAGTCTATAGATATATTGAATACTGAATATTAATGTGAAGTTTACAGTGAAAACAGTGAACTAATGTGCAGTGAGTTGTGGTGCGAGTGTGTCCTCTATTATAGGGATAATTGGTGTGAATTGGGGTTCAATGAGGTGTCCAAAGGGTTAGCCGAAGAGCTCTCAAATGATATGACTTTGAATACTGTGGTTCTCCTCATTGATTGAAATATGAATGAAAGCTATGAATGTCTGCATGAGCTCTGTATCCCTACTCCAATCAATACTACAATCAATGCATTTTCATAATTAATAGTAAAATTGTGAAGCCATTGATGAGTTTCACACGATTTTCAAGTGACATATATTTACAAAAATTTTGTTGCTTTTGAGTCGTGTATTGAAAGACGATCTCATTTTCATATATAGCGAGCGATATATGAGAGTAATTGAAAGTAAATGTTGTTTTGTTTGCAGCAAATGATTAATTATTTGAATATTGAATTGAAAACAAAACACTAGAAGTATGAAAAAAAGTATTAATGAAAATGTTTGTTAAGATATTAGTGAATATATGATTGTATGTATGATTGGAGTGATTTGATTAGCGATGCTGTTGGGTGTAGACTGAATGGATGGATAGGTAGTCCCAATCCCTGCTATCTTCACTATGGCAACAACTGCAGGGCAATGGCTTGACGTCAATCCTATAGTCAGTCACATATTTAACGTCAAACGCGATCTCGAAATTAGAGTTTTCATTATTGGTTCACTTGAGTGAACTCCAGACACACCTATGTTTTGCTAATTTGTTTACAATTATTTAGTCCATAATTAATAAGCAGTATTTGAAAAGTTCAAGTAATTATGGGCTATAAATGCTTGACTAATGTATTGACGGATGTGTTTGAAGGATGCGCGGAAGGCTGCCTGCGATACGACTCTGGTTCAGGCGACGGCTAATATGGAGCCCGTGGGCCGCATACAGATGCGCACCCGACGCACCCTCAGGGGTCACTTGGCCAAGATCTACGCCATGCACTGGGGCTCCGACTCGAGGTATACATTCGTCGGCTACCGCCACCCCATCGACCCGAGCGTTCAATTTGTTTGTTTCGCACTTAACAGCAGATACTTAGTGTCGGCCTCACAAGACGGCAAACTGATTGTATGGGACGCCTACACCACTAACAAAGTTCATGCCATTCCCCTGCGCTCCAGTTGGGTCATGACCTGTGCTTACGCGCCCTCCGGTTCATACGTGGCGTGCGGTGGACTCGACAACATCTGCTCCATCTATAGCCTCAAGACGAGAGAAGGCAACGTTCGGGTCAGTAGAGAACTGCCCGGACATACCGGTTATCTGTCCTGTTGTCGCTTTCTCGATGACAACCAAATAGTGACCAGTTCTGGAGATATGACCTGGTACAGTATACCACTCACCCTGGAGTACTACAGTCTTACTTATGAATGTTTTTGTCAACACTCAGTGCTCTCTGGGATATAGAAACCGGTCAACAGTGCACATCATTCACTGGCCATACGGGGGACGTAATGTCGCTGTCGTTAGCACCAGATATGCGAACATTCGTGTCCGGAGCCTGTGATGCATCCGCTAAGGTATGACTCGTCTCTTATGACTTAATTCTCAAATTATACTCATTTTTATTGATTTGTTGTCCAGTTATGGGACATTAGGGACGGGACGTGCAAACAGACATTTCCCGGTCACGAGTCAGATATTAATGCCGTTACGGTTAGTATTATTGATTATATACAATGAGTAGTAGTGGTGCTCTGAATAACCCAATGGATGTGTTTGTGTATCAGTTCTTCCCTAACGGTCACGCATTCGCTACCGGTTCTGATGACGCGACGTGTCGTCTCTTTGATATACGCGCTGATCAGGAGTTAGCCATGTATTCACACGACAATATCATTTGCGGCATCACTTCCGTTGCATTTTCAAAGAGTGGTCGACTCTTACTCGCAGGTTATGATGACTTCAATTGCAATGTTTGGGACTCTATGAAGGCCGAGCGCGCAGGTATGTCATAGTGATTGATGTGTTGGTTGCATGGACTGTAATGATGTGTGCATTGGTAGGAGTGCTGGCCGGACATGACAACCGAGTGAGTTGTCTGGGTGTGACAGAGGATGGTATGGCAGTGGCGACCGGTTCGTGGGACAGTTTCCTCAAGATCTGGAATTAACAGCAGATAATCATACTTTAGTTATGACAAGAATTACACATTTTTTGATCAAATAAGAAGTGAATGTTTCTAAAGTGTGTTTAACATAATGTGAATGACTGGCAAACCATAAACAATACTACTGGCGGTATATTTCATCGAATTCTATATAGACTTGTATTGAGTTATTATCGGTTCTTAATATTGTTTAAACTAAACAAAAGGACTTAACTTCACTTTTTGGATGTAAGCCTTTCATACAGTTCATCCTTTCGGATGTACACGAAATCCATTTTAACGCAATTCTTATATAATTATTATTATACCAACAAATGGCTAAAACTCAACTCTCATTTCATAATCAATTAACCGTTTCTAACAAAAAAGCGAATCATTGGTGAAGACTTTGAATAAATGTCTATCAATTTAGTTGTGTTTCGCCTCTCATCGACTCAACAAATACTGTATAAACAAATTGAAATTAATTGTGTTAAAGTTGTCACTCATCAGCACTTCATTGAAATATGCTTTGAATGGGAATATTATTGAAGAACAAGTGATTCACTGTTAAAACCATTTTAGGAACTCTTTTGCAACTCTACTGCCATTTCAACAAATGTCTCTCAATTGAGACAACAGACAGTTTGAAGTATGTGTGCATATGGTGACTTCTATGGCTCCAAACTATTAATGTTATATACAGTAATATTAGCTCATGATCTGCTCTACAATGGAGTGGATTTGTGGCGCACAGACACACCAACACCACTGAGGAGACAGATATCGACATCCATATGAATATAGTGATGATGTACTGCACACTAACTACTGAATGCGATCGAAGTTCTTGGATTTCAATTGATTTGATTGTGTGACAAACAATTCCTTATTATACAGTTTTGACACAAATAATTGCTATTATATTGAATTGCAATTGATTTACATTAAGAGACAAAAACTAAATTACTTTCAAATTAATTATTTACTAGAATTTCTTAATTTGTATTTTAATTCATTTATTGTGCCATTTGATCGACAGATTGTGTTATAAACTCTCCAGTGATTATAGTTTGTCTTATTTTACAATTTATTTTCAGTATTATTTGTATGATTGATGAGTAAATCAAGAATTTATTATGAATTATGTTGACAACTGATGACATTTGCCTTTCTAGTCAGTCGGTTCTCAGTTGTGTAACCCTTTCTAATCAAACTATCAATTCTATGACTCTATGCACCCATTCCTTACTACCCCTGCATCTCCCGATTGTCTCTTTGTTTTATGCTTTTATTAATAAATGATTTATTAATATAAATAACTCTAAAACAAACCAAAAGACAATAATCGCACCATTGGTTGGATATACAGTATTGAGAAACATATTTACAATATTATCGGTAAACGTGTCTTATTGTGCACACAATTAAATTCAATTCAATAACACTTGATTTGAAGTGAATAACAAAATACGACAATTTGACCATTAATTGCAAGAGAAAACAAAAGCAATTGTTTATGAATTGAATGAATGTATAGATGGGATGGGATGTGGGAGTGTCGCCAACGGGACGACTACTGTCGGCAACTTGTAGTGCATTACTTGTGCGTCAATTCAAATGATTGTATGATTTGTTTATATGCCGTAACATTTGATGTTAACTTAATTGCTCTCAAACTTGATGTATACACAAACTTGCGTTCAATTCAATAATTAAGACATTTCTATGATATGCAATTTCATTGTCGACTGACCCGACACATGAGCCCCGGTTTGGGTCGATTGGCAATGAAATTGTCACCCAAATTCATTATAGGCGGGTTAGGACTGTTACAGTGACTCTAATGGTCATGTAGTTAATAAATTGAGTGTTTTATATCTGTTGCTACTGAATACCGGCTCAAAGTTGATGGCAATCGTACCTCCAGACTGAGGTCAGCCCCACTTCGGCTCTGGTGTTATACACTTTTATTACTATAAGATTGCGCTCAACTTTTTGCTCAACATTTAGTGGTGACCAACACAACAACTAATTATTAATATAAAACTCATTTCAATACAACTTTGCATTCAATTCACAACTCTTCCGCTCTTTTTATTTATTTTAGACATTCTTTGTTTCCATTTCTTATAATTATAATTAACTTTTGTTAACTTTTGAAGATTTTCTGTCAAAATAATAAACTAAAAGCAAATGATAAAAAATATAGACATTTTCAATAACTACTGCCTTTTTTATTACTTTCTCTCGTTACAGCCAACTAATGATTAACTCAATTCATGTGAATATTGTCATCACATTATCACTAATAGTGTACTGTATTTATAGTAAATTACAGTATAATACAGAATTTGGTAAGAATTTTATATGAGACATGAGTTTCTCAAAAGCCATTCAAAGCACACATACTGTAAGCGTATTCTTCCTTATATTTAGATAAATAAACAGAATTTATAATAAGTGCTCAAAATATTGGCTTAAATAAACAACTCATGTCTCCCTGTCAGACACCATCCAGTCCTCAGTGCCTCTTATGGCAGCACAGCCTAAGAAATGCACACATAATCACCAATTGATGGCTAAGGCGTGTCCACACAGGCATCCGATGAATGCTTCAACCGATTCCACAAACATGTGTCGATTCTGTTGAGCGTAACGTTGTTTTTGTATGATTTACGTGATAATCATACATGAAAAACAATACATGAGAATAATGTTATAGAATATCCAATCGATTATTCATTTCAATATCAGTTTCAATCATAAAATGCATTTACTTTTCAAAAATATACTATTAGTTCAATCAATAGTTTTGTTAAGTCTTGTTAATTGCCATCAAATACTCGCCAATGATATCCAAAGTTTGTATTATATTCATGCCAACCATTCAATTCACTTTTTACTGTTATATTTATTTATTAAATATTGTTTACAAAAGTTTCTTTTATTTATAATATTGTTTTGACAATAATTTATAAATATATTAGAATTGGATCTATTGGTGACAACTGTGGCCACACATATCACCGATGGATTCGCTCGCTTTAATAGATCCGTCAATATATATGGCCATAAACTTGAGGTATAGATGCCGTCCATTGCCTCTACATCTGAGTGTCAATGACTGACTGATGACTGATTAGGTGTTGGGTGTGAACCAGAAGTGGTTGGGCGGAGAGGTGGCCACCAGTCCGGGCGGCGGACATAAAGTCAATTTACTCAAGACATTCATCAACCACTATAAGAGGGACACCAATGTAGTGATACTTTTTGTTGACAGGTCTGCCAACCGATCAATTAATTAGTTGTTGTGTTATTTAGACTTTCAATTATTGTGTCATTTGTTTAGCTTTGATGTGATCCTAACCTCAAGTCCTCACGAAATACTGAAGCGATTCATTGAAATGGACGCCAAAATTGTCTTCTCATCCGAGGGTTTCTGTTGGCCCGACAAGACATTGGCTGTAATTCAATGAATTAAAATTGTTTTTATTTTTTATTCAATTTAATGATTTTATTTGGATTTTTAATTTTAGTCAAAGTACCCGAAGTCAGAAGTGGGCGGGAAGCCGTTTCTCAACTCTGGGGGTATTTATTGCTTAAATAAATATTGTATTGGAAAACTACTTTGCTTAATATTTTATCCAAAATAACCTAAGCGCGGAGTTTAGATACTTTACCACAGGTGGAGACTCTAGTTACTGAACCTACTGCTGGTTGAGAAAATGTGTTTCTATATATAGCTGTATAACTTAAGAGTAAGACTCGCCGATCCATATATAACTTAAGTCTTAAGTGATTCAATTGGAACTCATGTATGAATGTATGGAAAATCAGATGAAATTGGATATAAAGTTGGATCAGAGGGCACACCTGTTCCAGAATTTGAACGGAGCTGTCGGTGACGTGGAGATTAAATTTTCTGCCGAAGACTCGTACGTTAATAACAATGCCTTCCAAAGCAATCCGTTGGTAATCCATGGCAATGGCGGCAGCAAAGTATGTGATGTCAGTTATTCATTCATTTAATGTTTTACTAATTTCTGAATACAACGTTACTAAAGGTTGTGCTCAACTCTTTGGGCAACTATTTGGCGAAGTCATGGCATCCCAAATACGGGTGCCTTTCTTGCGATGAAAATAAGACCAGTTTAGAGAATATTCCTGACTCTCAACTGCCACTCGTATTGATTGGAGTGTTTGTCACTCACAAGACTCCGTTTTTCCCGGAATTCCTACAATATATCGTTGAACTCGAATACCAGAGAAAACGAATTCATTTATTTATATATAATAGCGTTTCCTATCATTCGAAAGACATTCAAAATTTCATCGATCAGTACAGAGATAGCTATCGAGGGATTACTGTTTATGGATCCGACAAACCCGACCAAACGGAACCACTGGAATGGATGGCCAGAAATTCTGCACTGTATTTGTTATATATTTATTGCTCACCAAACACTCGTTAATTGACTTATTTTGTGAATAGTGATGAATGTGTGAAAGTCGACTGCGATTACTATCTTTCCATTGATTCCGACGCCAGACTTACCAATCCTTCGTCTCTTAAAACTCTTATTCAACAAAATAAGTAATTTTCAATCAAAATATTAGTGTATAGACAGCATTGTGTCAAATGATGTATCATTTAGGACTATAATCGCACCCCTTTTGGTTCGACACAACCAGGTTTGGTCCAACTTCTGGGGCGCCCTCTCCTCTGAAGGCTTTTATTCCCGATCTCACGACTACATCCAAATAGTCAAGAATGAGCGCCGGTATGTGATTTTAGTTTATAATTTGTTAATATGTGAAGCATTTAAGCATTTGTTATAGATATGTTTGAATTACTTAACGATAAATATTTTTTAATTTGTTATGATAAATGATTTTAATTATAAAATATTGCATACAATTCATTATTAAGAGCTTTGAAATAATTTTCACGATAACAAAACAAACTTTAAATAATGTTTTAAAAATTTTATATGAAATGTACAGTACTTGATATTAATTTTATAATAATATTTGTTGCTTCTGTCCATTACAATATGCAAAACATTTAACATTACCGGTATTATGATTATAATTTGCATATACTGCGATATTAGTTATGAAATTATTAATACATGCGTTTATTGATTTATAAAATAATATACAAATTAAATGAATGTCATCTAAAATTAAACCCAAGAATATGGCATCAATTTATTCAATCCATTGCTTGAGTTATGAATTAAACAATTTCACTAAATTTTACTATTGATTACTGTATTGAATGTGTAATAACAAAATTATATAACTCTGTGATTAGGGATAGTTAAAAATTTCTATTATAAAATACAAATTGAACATTAGTAAAACATTTACTTGACTATCCAGAGTAAGATTTACAATTATAATATAAAGTACACTTAAAACATGCTTGTGTTCATACAGTTGAAGGATATGACATAGAATAACATACTGTAGACTCTGTGATATTTTTAAAGTAATATTTAAAAGTTATTGCTGAACTTTTCATGATATGTCTCATATTTGATCATTGATTCAAATTGGAACTGATTTTTTCATAAACTAAAAATTATATTACAAATATACATAACAACCCAAAATGAAATAATAACAAAATTATAAATAATTTGATATAAAAAGATTGTTGTTACAAATTCCTATTTATCATGATACATGTCAGTGTATTGGTACATGATGTAGTCTAGAAATCTGCTTTGAAGTTACGTCTGTCCTGACATATAAACAACAAACGGACGTTAGTTATGTTTATAATAAAAATTAATTTGATTTAGAATAACCTATATATCCTATAATTAAACTTTCAATACCCAAATGACATAATATGTTAAACATACAAATTAAATAATTATTTTATTGCATTTAGCTTTCATTTTATTATTAGCCTTTAATTATAATTAAATATTAAACTAATTAAACTATAACAAACAAATATTTGCAAAAGGGTTTTTATTATCTCAATAAATAGAAGACATAAGTTTATTTAAAGATCTTTTGCTTAACGCTTTATATAAAGTATATTAAAAAGAATTATAATATTTCTAAAGGGTTTTCTGAATCATAAACATAATTATATGTTCAAGAAATGCTTTTCTCTCTATTGTAATGGGAATTAGGACTAACTGAATGCATACAAGATTCTGGATACGCTATTTAATCAATGTATTTTGCTGCAAAAATGCGTGAAATTTAATGCATGAAATTCTCTGCATTGAATTGATTTTCGTGTATTAGTTCTAATAGAGTTAGATATTCACACTAAACACTAATACTAATAAATAAATAAATAGTTATAAATTATCATGAACTACACATTTATTTTTATCGCAATTTTTACTATTCTATTGATTTGAATAGAGTTAATTTAGGAATTTCTTTATATGCTCAGTGTCATATTAATTAATAATTATATTAAAATTAAAAATGAGAGAATATGTATACTAGCCATGCACTCGTAGGTGCCACTGTCCATTTGCCTGGCTGGGTCAATCTCCAGTTTGCTTTTGATACGGTCTTTACCGTATTTCCACTCCGATATCTATGAACACCATTAAAATAATTATGTAATAGACTTACATTTATAGACTTAAAGGATTACATACTTGGAGGTATGGATGCAAATGAGGATCTAATTCAATGCTATCTTTAAACCAAGTGATCCTATAGTAGCAGTGATTCAATTTAATTAGAGAAATGCTTGATGTATATAAATGAGATATTGCTTACATGGGCACCGGGTCACCAATGGCTACACATATAAACACAATCTAAATGAAAGGATTACAAGTGTTAGAGTAGTGGCAGTGATGGGAAGGGATGGAAGGGTTGGACTCACTTTATGGCCCAAATCAAACTCATAGTCGAAGTGCGAGGCCTGCACTATATTAGCGCCCTATCCGTCAAAATGAAGCACAAAATAGAGATTTGAGTGAAAATGCCTTTAAATAAGTGAATGAATTGATGGTTTTAAACTCAAAAAACTTGATAACTGATAGGTTTCGTAAAATTGTTCATCTAATCCTTGAAAATCCTGAAATTGAGAGACAGATGAAAATATTGCCCAAATTGACTCAATTTTGGCATAATATTTATGTATTGATACCAAAAATTTATTCATTTATCTTATAATTCACTGCATCTAAATTCAACATTTGAAGGCTCTGTCAAAAATAAATGTGATATTTAATGGAATTTGTGAACAAAATATTAATATTTATTGCAAAGCTTAGCATTTTTCGTAAAGAACCTTAAAATCCGACAATTTTTCATTTGTTTGCTTTCGTTTGCTTTTATCATTAAAATTCTCTAAAGAATTTCCAGTTGTGTTAACTCACAGTGACATAACATTTGAATTACACGAAAGTATGATTTTATTCATTTAGTTTAGCATAAGAGAGTGAAGTTAATATAATTATTTTATTTGAATTAATCTAATATTCTGACTTCATTTAAAATAAAGTAATTAAAATTGTTGTTCATATCTTAATATACATAACACGTGAGAAATATTAGACGAATTAGAAATATTTTTGATGATATTAATTATAAATAGTATTCAATAAGTTATATTAGTGGAATTGGTTAAATATAAACTTCTAAATTATGATAATTACAAAGTTATAATTGAAACAAACGGTTGTATGTGTGATGGATATATGGACTCACATTGGGATTGTCGTAATACTCCTTCCGTCGGGGATTAGTATAGAAGAGAAATCTGGACGAACCCTGTTTTCGCATCCGTCCCCTCCGTCGAGACCCTCGGCCTCTCTTGCCCTCAATCACTGAATTCAATACAATTAACAAAATAAATGCAATTAAAAGATATGTTGAGAAACGCATTGATACGTTGAAACGGTTTGAATAGCTTTGAAACGCAATAACTATTCATTGGTTTCAGACAACAATCACTTTCTGTTGATCACTAAAAGTATTAAAACTGTTTTCAAGACTCTGTTCACAACTTAAAGCCTCTCTCTATTGACAAACTGTGCGCACGTTCTTCACAGTTGATCATTGATTTTGTTGGACTACTCGTCCATTTGTGCGCATTTCTTATCACTTTTACAATTATTGTCTTTAATTTTAAAACTCTTTAAACAATTTGAGAAAATTATATAAAAACTTTTCTATTGTAAATTTTATCTTATCTAATTAATGATATTTTAGAAACATACATGTATGTCATTTTGAGTGAATCAGTATTTATTTTATTTTATTCTATGTTAGAAACAATTTCTAAATCTTATTTCTTAATTTAATATTAAACTTTAAAATTAGTAATCATATCTTAATATATTTTAATTGATTTATTATACATAAAGGAGAATTGGTTTGTTTTCAGTATTAATTTATATGGTAAAAATATTTATATTTACATACATAATATAGAAATGATTAGATTTTGTGAAATTTATGACAAATATTGTGTTCATTATATAAATCAGAGGCGTTTGGAACGTGCCGTTCATATCAGAAGCCTATCTAATCAAAGGAAGTCTATTGAAAGGCCGAGAATCCAATGAAGTGGAGCCGAGATTTTCACCTCATTTTTATAGCAATAAATATCCCGATTTGGATCCGGATATGACTTTCTGTGCAATACTTAGAGATAACGGAATCTTTATGTTTGTAACGAATATAGAAGATTTCGGACATTTAGTGATTAGTTCAACATATGACACAAATCGATTAAATCCAGACTTTTATGAGATTTATTCAAATCAAAAGGATTGGCAAAACAGATATATTCATGAAGATTACACAAACATTCTGAAACCGGAAACCCCTGTTGAACAGCCCTGTCCTGATGTTTATTGGTTTCCAGTCGTTAAACCTATATTCTGCAAACACCTTATAGGTTTGCAAACATAATATTATTATGATACAAAATCAAAACAAATGAATTGAAAAAATATTTACTTTACTAATTATTGTTGGAATTGATTTAGAACTAATGGAAAATTTTGGACAATGGTCTGACGGTAAAAATACGGTTAGCATTTTTAAAATTAATTTTAAAATTTCTATCATTTTTTCTTTGTTTGTTAATAAGCAATAGTTATAGAATATTCTGTTTATGTAAATATAACTTATTAGATATTTATTGATTTGGATATAAAGGACCCACGACTGGCCGGTGGCTATGAGAACGTTCCCACAAGGGATATACACATGAATCAAATAGGGTTTGAACAGCACTGGCTCTACTTTCTTAGGGAATATATACGACCCGTTCAGGAAAAGGTGTTCATCGGCTATTCTCATGACGTGAGTCCTATGATCAGGCAAACACCTTAAATGGCTTTATTTAACTATAAACTACTGTCTGGTTAGCCACCGAAAGCTATAATGAATTTCGTGGTCCGGTATCACCCGAACGAACAGCCGTCCCTTCGCCCCCATCACGACGCCTCCACTTATACCGTTAATATTGCACTCAATTCTGCAAACATTGATTATGAGGTAATTAATACATTAATTGTGAAATATCATTAAATGCATTTAATTCAATGTTTCACTCATTGACAGGGAGGGGGCTGTCGTTTTGTGCGATACAACTGCAGTGTAACTAATCCTCGTATTGGTTGGTCTTTCTTACATCCGGGAAGACTGACTCACTTTCACGAAGGCTTGAGGGTAACCAAAGGTGTCCGATATATAATGGTCTCGTTTGTGGATCCATGAGTTGTATTTTGCAATTTCAATCAATAGTTACTTAAATGGACGGCCGCTTTAAAAATGCAAACTTTCTTATATTTTACAATTTCTTATAAATTTCTTATATACTTTTGTGCCAAACGCTAGTCTTTTAGACAATTTTAAATAATTTTTAATTTACACGATTACTTTTAAGCAAATTTATTATTGGCATTAGAAATAACTCGAATGAATCAAATGTTAACATTATTTTCTAATCACTTATGGATAATTATTACCCGTATAAGTGCAGCTACTGTAAGAACTTAATTCTCAAATGTTAACAAAATTGTTTTCATTATATTTGCTAATTCAATAATTGACTTTGCTAAATTTTATTATTTATTTGTATATGAATATCAGTAATATTCTTATTTTTCAATAAAATTAATTGAAATTAATAAAGAACTTATACATGAGTTTAAAATTATATTTGATTCAACTTAATTTAAAATTAAAATATCCTGAAATATTTATAAAGAAATTAAATTAATACATTATTTCATAGTATACTGTACAAGTTATTATACAAATTGCTAATTCTTCAAATGTTTTTGAAGCAAAAATTTTTTCATTTAATTTAATTATAATTAGATTTGACTGCATAGTACCCACAAAACTAGTATACACAAAACTACAGTACAGTATTATACAATATATTAACTGACTCGTGAGTACAGTACTTAGCGAATCCACAGATGTGTTTGAATTGAATATAATATCTTAACTTTTATCACTTAACTCGATACCTCAGTTTACGTCACAATGCTTTCTACAACTATAGAGAATTGCATGGATTTTTTTTATATATAACAAATAGAGTTTTAATTGTTTTACCAGTAAACGAAAAATTAATTATTTTATATAACTCGAGGCTTTATTTCAGAACTTGTTTTTATTTTACTAATGAACGGGAAATGAGACAAAAGCATCCAATTTAAGAGCATTTTCATTATTAGCCAGAGTTTTGCAACAGTTATTACAATCAATATATTCACTCATTCAGTCTACATTTTTGGACTTTAGATTAGTTTTGCACCAAAAACTGCTAAAAATGAAACACTTTTGTATTATAGAAAATTCTGTATTAATATAATCACTCAATTATATTTTCATTTGTGTTTGTGATACTGTATCTAAATGTTTAGACTATAAGTTATGTACATTTAAAGTATAATCACATATCTTAGTCTATTTTGAGTTTAATTATTTTTATAAAATTAAGTTTATATTTCTCAGTATTTCCAGTAATAAATAATATTATGAAATCTGTTCTCAAAGTAAGATATAAATAAAAATATTTATAGGAATCTAAATCAAATTCAATGACAAGATTTATATTAGTATATATAGTATATACTATATACTACAGTATACTTATAATATTGTATAATAAACTGAACTGAATCGAAATAAACATTTTGTTCATAATTTAACACTAAATTATTATTAAATTATTTTAATTTTAGTGACTTTGGTATACTTCATGAAAAATAATACAAAAGTATATTCTTATGGGATTCTAGTATATTCTTGAGTTTTAATTTACTAAATTTTATCTGAATTCTGTTGACATTCACTTTGTAAGCAAAATATTAAATCAGAAGTGAATTCCTATATGTAAGTAATTACAGTAAAAATGAATTTATTTTGCAATTGACTATATTATAAGTATGTTATCACATGAACTGCCATATCGATCAGTGCTCACATCCCTGGCCTTCGCAGCTCTGACTGTATGCGCAATGGATACCCGAGAGCTGTGAGTTCGTCGCCTTACATAACATAGAGTGCACTCCAAAGGCTTTATGAGCTGAGAGAGAGAGAGAGAGAGAGAAAGAGAGAGAGAAAGAGAGAGAGAGAGCAGACAGTGAGCGACTGAGAGAGTCGGAGACAGCACTCTCCTCATTAGTCCTTAACCAGAACAACCAGAACTTCATTTAAATCTATGAAATCAACAACAAATGTGTTTGTCTTGTGTTGCTATCATATAGAGATGATATGTTTTATTGCATTTTGCATATAATAAACGAATGTAATATTTTTAATTAAATTAAAAGCCAAGAATGTGCACATAAATGATCAAACCAAATACAAATCGTGTCACATAACAAACGTAAGCCTTAATTAATACAATTCATATCCTTAATTGCCTGTTGTGTGATGTAGGGCTGGTTTGTAGCGCAGGTAAGTGCCATTACCGGAACCTTTATATTCATATTCTTCATATGTCCTCATTCTTCATATGCCATACACTTGTGTCCATTTGTTTGATTGCTTTTTTGCACATGTCTTACGTCTTACTCTCCAATCTGTCTTACTTTCCGTCTCTCTGTTTATATTATTCATAATTTGTTAACTTTTAAAATTAAATCTTCTAAAACTTAATTGTGTTTACTATTTGTGTATACAATTTAATCCAATCACAGCCAATATGTGTGTTTTAACCAAATTCACCAGATTTGCACATTTAATGTATTTTATAAGAGGGTTTAGATGTTTAAAATTTAAATTATATTCATCATCTACTCTCACTTGTCAGGTTAAGTTAGATTTTAGGCAAAAATAAACTAGTAAAATATTTTATTCCATACAAAAGTTTTCGTTATTGTCCTGTATGTTTTAATTGTCAGTCATTCACTGTTTTGTTGTTAACAAAAATTTTATACTTGAATCGATATATTCTTAATATTAATTATTTTAAATCATGAAAAAATTTAGATGTATTTCAAAGCATCAGTTGAGTAAAGAATGAATGGAATACAACTGAAACCAGTGAGTTATACATCATTATAAGATTGTATTATAAATAAATTTGTTGTAAATATTGATAATATTCTCTAAATCAATACAATCTTTAAGAACTATACAAATAAAGGATTTATTGTGACAACATCATACCAATTTGTTAGTGAATTTTATTAAAACAAATGTCAAAATTGTTAATAATGTTTTTATTTTGCTTATATAACAAGTTAATACTCAGCATAGTGTTCAGATTAGGTTATAGTTGTTTTTATTAGCCTATAAAGATTATATCTAAATTTGTTATAAAATTTTTTGATTTTTTAAACAAATTTCTAACATTATCCCATTTTTAAGGAGAGTGATTAGCTTAATTCATAAACCATTACAGTATATAAGTTGTGTAACATTTTAATTTAATTAAAGACTTACCTAAATCTTAATAAAAATTAATGACCTAAAAATAATTTTATTTTAATTGCTAGAACAAATATATAAATATTTAATTAGAATAATTTAATTATAATCTTTTATAAATTAATTCATTAATAATTAAAACAATGAAAGAGATAATAAATGATAATACTGTACACTTTGTATAATAAATAATTTTCTATTATTCAAACTAAATGTGATTGATATACATGTGAATGTCATAATTGATTTAGTATTATATTTTAATTAAAAAATTTTGATTTATTAATAGAGTTATAATTTTTACAAACAATATTTCATAAAAATTCAGATTTTGAATAAATGAAATAATCTAATTTATATATTTACCATTTTTATCCTAATATTTTAATGACATTAAGATTATTTTAATCATAAAAATATTAAAATATTCTAACAAAATAATCTAAAGCTACAATAAATTTACAATTACTTTATAGAATTTGGGATTTAATTATCCGTTTATTAAAATTAATAAAAATTAGTGTAATCATTTATTCAATGATAGGCAAGCTCGATTTCTCAAGAGGACATACCATTTTTTAATTTTAAAATTCTTTATTATTATTATGACTCTTATCAACAGTAATACTCACTTATCAGATCACAATTGATTATTAAACTTATTGTTATTTCTACAGTATTACATCAAAATATTAGAAAAATATTGGAAAAATAGTAAAATAACAATAATGTATATAAAACGGAAAAGTATTGGATTTTAAAGATAAGAATGGATCATATTACAGTTGTAATTGCACATTGTATATTTTACTAGAACAATGCTCAAATATTGTTTACACTGTAGATTATATAATTGAAACAAAATTAATTATAAAAAATTGTTGAACAAAATATGAACGAAATGAAAAATAAACAAAACTTAACTGAACCTGCTATTATCTTACAGATGCCTCGTTATAAGAAAACTGATTTCGATGATGACGAGGCCTCTGATGTCAGTAACTTTCCCACTGATATCACGGTGACAGGCATTGGTAACCCTAACCTATCGGCTAGTGGTCAGCAGTTAGCATCAGAAGCTCAGGAGCAGAACCACCAAAAGTTTTCCAACTCTCCGGGCGTTTCATTTCTGAGTCCAGTCAGTGCCACCAGTAAACGGGTCCGCAGACGGGGCTTTTGGGACCGCTCCTCGCCTTTTGAAAAATTGTTATTAATTGTTATCGCATTTCTCAGTTGTGTTATCATTATATTAATATCCGTTTTGACCGCTCAGTCAAATACAACCTTTCAGGTGCACGTCAGCACTCAAAACAAATGTATGTATTTATTATATCTTATAATTGTTTGTTTTAAATAAATGTATTCTTAAATAAACAATATTTTCTATTTTCATATTTAGCCCAGTATTGTTTAACACCGTCGTGTATAACAGTTGCCAGTGCTATCATCAATGCCATTGACTTTAAGACTGATCCCTGTGATGACTTTTATCAGTATGCGTGCGGGGGTTGGGTTCGCGACAATCCATTACCCGATGGGAAGTCCATTTGGGGAACATTTGGCAAACTATGGCAGGAAAACCAATTAGTCATGAAGAATGTCTTAGGTTTGACATTATTTGACTCATTTATCGGACAATCCATACTTTAATGAATTACTTTGAATCCGATTTGAATTGTTATTGAGAACTTGATTGAGAATATGAAATACTAATCATTAATAAGTTATTAATTAATAATAACTGTGTTTATAATGACAGAAGAGAGCAAACCTGACAGCAATCCACTGAGTGCTGAGCGGAAGGCCAGAGTATACTATCACTCGTGTGTCGATAAAAACGAGACAATTGAAAAATATGGACCAAAACCAATGCAAGACTTTCTCAAAAACGTAATCATATACTAACAATAATAAGTTGTATTGAAATTAATAGAGTATTAAACCATTGAAAACAGATTAAAGGATGGAATATAAGCGGGGATTTCGATGTGAATGAATGGGATTTTCAGGAATCCCTTGAATTACTGCACAACGTCTACAATAGGGGCGGACTATTCTCATGGGCTGTAGGCGCCGATGAGAAGAATTCGACCCAAAATATTATACAAATAGATCAGAGCGGACTTGGACTGCCTTCAAGAGACTATTATATCAATAAGACATCTGATGACGAAGTGATTTACAAACGGAAAACATGTTAAATGCCATCATTTTATTGAATGCAATCATATGTTTCAGGTGTTGAAGGCGTACTTGAATTTTATGACAAAAGTCGGAGTACTTCTCGGAGGAGAAGAGAATAGTACGAGAGATCAGATGACAAAAGTGTTGGAGTTTGAGAAGAAATTGGCTCAGGTTTTGAATGTTGATTTGATTTATTTATTTGAAATATTAACGACAATTATTTGAATAAAAAAAAGATTACAATTCCTGCGGACCAGAGGAGAGATGACGAAAGGACTTACCATAAGATGACTCTAAAAGAAATGAAAAGAAGGTGTAAAGTGATAGACTGGGTCTCATATTTCAGACGCGCTTTTGATAACATCAGTCGACCGATCACTGAAAGCGAGCAAATTGTAATCTATTCGCCGGAATATATGACTAATTTATCGGATCTAATAGAGGATCACTTGAAAGACGATCAAAACAAGATGTAAGACAAACGTTGTTATAATCAGATGAATAATAGACTCTAACCAATGGCTTAATGCAGTGTCCTATCCAACTACATGGGCTGGTCTGTCGTGCAAACTATGACTTCATGTCTATCGAAGCCCTTCAGAGAGGCCTCAAAGATATTAAGAAAGGCTTTAATGGGATCTGAAGGGACAGAGAGCCCCTGGAGGTATTGCGTCACTGACACCAACGGTGTGATGGGCTTTGCTTTGGGGGCGATGTTTGTGAAGGCGGTCTTCGACGGAGAGTCCAAAAAGATGGCACAAACCATGATTGAAGAGGTGAGGGATGCGTTCAAAAACAATTTGCCTCATCTTAATTGGATGGACGAAAACACGAGACAATTGGCTAAAGAAAAGGTCACTTTCTCTTCATACCATTTGACAGCAATTGATTTGAATTGAATTTGAAATGTGATTCAAATTTCCATTCAAAGGCCGACGCTATCACTGATATGATTGGTTTTCCTGATTTTATTCTCGACTCTAATAAATTGAACCAGAAATATGACGGGGTATGCCTAACATGCCTTTCCACTTACACTTTTAAAAACTTGATTTGCATTATTTTTCACGTTTAGCTCGAGTTTGACGAAAACAAATATTTTGAAAACAACATTAAAATGAATTCATTTGCTTTGCTTCGAAACATTCAAAAAATTGATAAAATGGTAATTTATTCAAAATTGTTGGTTTAATATTTGTTGTATAATACTAATACAAAATATCACAACTTAAAGGCAAATAAATCTGAATGGGAAATGTCTCCGCCTACTGTTAACGCATATTATACGCCTACAAAAAATCAGATTGGTAATTTTAATTTCTCACTATACGTATTAAAACTGTCTCTAAATTGTTTGGTTTATTTACAGTATTTCCGGCCGGAATACTACAGGTATTGTCATAATCATAGATACGGCCAAACAGACAGTCAAACAGTTTTATTATTCTAAGCGAAAAAATTTGTACAATAATTATGAGATTTATTTATATTCTGTAAATCGATTTTTTATATTCTTTACAATGAGTTTGAATGTTAAAGTGTGGCCTCTCAATAGACATACAATAATAATATTTTAATATTAAATACAACTAATTGGTGAATATGTTGGTATAGGCGCCCTTCTACGACATTAATTATCCGAAGTCACTAAATTTTGGAGCAATGGGGGTAAGCAAATGAAATCAAATTTTATAAATTATTGACTTTATTTGTAATCTCTTTCACGCAGGTAGTGATGGGCCACGAACTCAGTCACGCATTTGATGGTAAAGATAATATGTGTGAACAATCTATAGACAAATGCGTGAAATATGTTTTTATCGTACAGATCAGGGTCGAGAGTACGACAAAAGTGGCAATCTTCACCAGTGGTGGAAGAATAGCACAATTAGAAAGTTTGAGGATAGGATGAAGTGCTTTATTGACCAGTATAAGTATGTTTTATTCATTATGAATGTTTTCGCGCTTTATTCATAAGTGTTTTTTACATATTTTATTATTAGTAAATACACGATTGGAAGTGAACATGTATGTATGCCTACAATGACCCTACAAACCACTCTAACCCTAACATTGATAATATGTTTGATTTGTTGATTTCAGGTAAATGGGAAGCAAACAATTGGTGAGAACGTTGCCGATAATGGAGGTCTTACAGCGGCTTATAATGTAAGCAATTGTGCAAATTATGCCAAATAACCAAATAATGAATTGTGTTGAACACAAATGACCCAATTATTATAGGCGTACAAATCATGGCTCAGCAAACATCCCACAGAACTACCGCTTCCGGGCGTGAATCTCACGAATTTGCAGCTCTTTTTTGTGGGCTTTTCACAAGTTTGGTGTTCAACGAGTAAATATACAATTATTACATATAATGAGAATACATGAGAATATAATGCAATCATCCATAGGTACGCCCGAAGCATTGAAACTACAGATAATGAATGACCCGCACAGTCCGGCACAGTTCAGGTTTATATTTTTGACATATTTTTTTACTAAATCTAACCAAGGACAGAGGTTAAATCTAATTATTTGACAGAGTCATCGGAACCCTTTCCAACTCCTATGAATTCGCTCAACAATTCAAATGTAAACCAAATTCTCGTATGAATCCGGATCCGGACAAGAAATGTGTCGTTTGGTGAACACATTGTACTTAAACTTATTTCATCCAGTTTACTTATAAGAGTCGATCTCTTATTTCAATATTTGATTCATTCATTTATTACTACATCGTGTCGATCATTTGTCAAGTTTTTGTATTTTGTGATTAAAACGTTATTCAATTAATGGAAGAACTTTGTACGTTTGATACAGTATTTGGACAATACTTTAAAATTTTATCAAGTGATAAAGTTTTGGTGAGAAAGTGATGAAAAATGGATTTTCATAAATATTAGTTTTAAAAGTGTTTTTGAGTCAAATATTCATAAAACTCAACACTACTCCATCGATTAACTACTATTGTGTTGATTGTGTTCATTATATTCACGAATTAGTTTTTGTTTCAGAAATTCATATATAATTTATGTCTGTTTTGATATGAAGATCGCCTCATGTGTTGTTTCAATCAATACAGCCCTTTGATCATCAAAACTATAATTAATGTGTTATTTACTAAAATGTTCACAAATTAAAAAAAATTTATGTATAAAAGATTATATAAAATAATTATTTTAAATCCAATCAGAGCTTGAATATCGTAAATAAATAATGTTTTATTTTAATCTTATCATTGATTATTACTTTTTATAAATACTGAATATTAAAAACAGTTTATAAATTCATTTAATTGGAGCATTAATTCTATAATTTGCTAAATATCTATAATTTTATTATTAAATTAATTTGGGGATTAAACTAATAAAATTACTGAATGACCAAGCTAATTCTTAAAATGACAAATTATGACACTATTATATTAAGTTATAAATATGGCAGATAATTTATGAAGTAATTATTAAACTTTTATATGGGTTTAAAAGTTTAGAATCTAAACAGTCAAATATGGTTATAAAATTTATATTTCATCAAAGGTGTTAATACTTTACAAAGTATTCTGTATTTTAATAATATATATAACAAATCTCAAAATATTAGTTAACCGTGCCATATAAAGTAATATAATTGTATATTTTAATAAAATCATTTATTAAAAATTATTAATAATAAAAGTTTATTGAATATTTTAAAATGAAAATATATTTACATTTCAATAAAATTATTATATCACCACTGAATTAAAATGTTATACTGTATATGATTATGTTTGTTTATCTGTATATTGTATTCAGAATAAAGCATACAAAAATTCTATAATATTTTAACATATTAAAGTATACATAGCATCAATTAATTAACTGCATTTGAAATATTCAATTATATATAGTTATATATAGTTATATAACAATTGGCAAGTTTGAGCTGTAACTATAAAACTGATGTTTTTATTAAAAGACTTTTTCATTATTTAAGTTCTAATTTAATAACTTATCAATGATATTATAAGCAAAGCAATAAATGAAATCAATTATTTCAAAGGTAAAAATTAATATAATAAAATCGACACAATATTTTGGTATTAAATAATATTAAGCATTAAAAGTTAAAATAAAGTGTTCAAGAATTACATTTTGTATTTCAGGAATGATTAAATAGAAAGTAATGTGTTTATTATACTAATAGCTGCTAATATTATATTTTAAATCAAATAGTTGATTATAAAGAAATAATGTGTATTATAAGCTCACATGAAATATGAATTTGTTTGATAACCCGGAGTAGAGGTGACAAACGCGCTGTGAGGCCATGAAGTAGAGTCGGCTATATTTCTAGTGGAACCCAATGAACTAGAAGTCCAATGTGTAGGCGCTATAGTGTCACTCGTATTATGACCGTTATATTGGAACTCATTATTAGGAACAGGGTTTGGATGTACGGCACTATTATTTGCGTTCAGTATATTAAGCATTGGTTGACTAAAATGATCGCTCGTATAGTTGGGATGAGCTGTCATTTGATGGGATGATATAAATGACGGCTGAACTGAAGGCCCAAAGTTTTGGTGACTATTCCGAGTCCAACCCGACTCTAAAAATAGATTTGATTTTTCTTTAATTGAGTTACAATTAATAATTTAAAGTTATTTCAATTATGTTATATAACCAATTGTTATTACAGTATTTGATATGACTTTAATAAATGAATGAATGATAACAAGTGACATACCGTTGTGACCAAATTCTGGTCCATCCATATAATGGGAAGCAATGTTTGGCTGAGGATATGATCCGATGTTAATACTAGAGCTTGAAGATGAGGGCATGGGAGGGGGTGTAGACATGAAACCGGCACTCATTTGTGAGCCCCCGACTTGTTTACGCCATCGCGCCCTTCGATTACTGAACCAAACCTTAGAGAATTGATTTCATGAGAATTTCGTTATACAAACTCTTATGGAGAGTATAATTGCAATGATGTGCTTGTAGTACAAGCGATACTCGAACTAATCACATGTATGGCTCAGTACCTGAACTCTTGCTTCAGTCAATTTGGTCTTTTGTGCCAATTCTTCGCGAGTGTAGACATCGGGGTATTGTGTCCTCTCGAAAGACCTCTCGAGTTCGTCCAACTGTTCCGCTGTGAATGTGGTTCGCGATCGCCTCTGCTTTCGCTTCAGTGGTATTCCCGGCTCTGAATCGCAATCAGATTCATCACCACTTCGTCCTAATTCATGCAATTATAGTACAAATGAGTTCATTATCTATCGGTTGTCTTATTATCACTTATTTCAATATTTTTGCATTTAAATTGTGGACTTGCAGTACAGTATATGAATAGAAATGATTAGCTCTAACTTTTATGGTATTTGAAAGTTGTTTACAGATTAAAACAAATTATTTTATGACTTAAAGTTAATTTGGTTTCTAAAGTGAAATATAGGGCCAAAGATCTACCGCAAGCAGTGGTGAATTAATGATGAAAAGGTAGTGATGTTTTTTGGTGTTTGTCGATTGTATGGATTGTACGTATGTATGGATGTGTTGTTACCTTTGATGGTGGGCCAAGTATTGAACAACAATATGGAAATGAAGTTCAAAAGGACCGCAACAGCGCTCACACCTTATATTTATGCTTTTGATCGGTGATCAGGACTTGTTCTCAACAGTTGTGACTGCAATGACTTTTGTCGTGTCCGACAACGACTGCCTGCAGTCCATTACAATACAGTACAAGATGTGCATTCAATGTGCATTCAAGTGCTCTGCGTGGGGCCGGTGCGAACTAATACGGGCCATACATACGAGTGCCCTGTCCTTTGCCTTTATATGTTGTTTAAAGAATTCAACCGAAAGTATTAAATTTTCGTTCAGATATTCTTCAAACAAAAGAACACAATATTAGCCAACTTTTGGCATTATTGGTGACATTTTTAACTGATGGCCACCCAGTGAGCACTCGTATGCTTTAGGCCATCAGTGAATGGAAAGGCGGAGATATAATGTTATCATTTAATGTACACATTATTGTAAGCAAAGGTAAAAAAGGCCAAAAAGACTACCGAAACACCGAATGGCTATCTTTGAAGAGACCGATGGCTATGGCTATAGCTGTGAACCGATTCAATGCAAACAATTGCCCTTTAAATCAGTGAAATAGAAGATGAGTCCAACTTATAGGGTGTTAGACATTAGACCAGATTAGATGTGTGGCACTGGTATGCAAACAATTGGTCCGATTGTTAACTAAAGCTGATCACAGGTGTCGAAAACAGGCGTAAAGTATCGCTCACTTATAGCCCAAAAGAATAACAAACTATTTGATAAAAAATGAGTTTCAATTGAATTCAATTTAGAGTTGTTTTTCTTGTATAAAGAATAGATGAAAATGATGTACCATGGTACAATCGCAATGACGTTCATTCACTAAATGGTGCCAATTATCAATGGTATGGACCCTAAGCTCTGGTAGTCTGAGGGGCAATGAAAGCACTATAAATGACTGCAAACGACTGCTTTGCGCCATACAATTGGTTTCAGATGAATATTATGCTAAAGAATCAAACGTTAATAGATGTGCGATATGTTGGATGTGTTGGATGTGCTGCATATCTGGCTGTATATGAGAGCAACGGCTCTCTCTCTCTCTCTCTCTCTCTCTCTCTCTCTCTGGCCCAGACTGAGGCTCTGGTGTGCCTGTGATGAGAGTGTCGACTGAACTGACTCTCTCCCAAATTAGCGTAACGTCCCATTCGTGCCATTCATATATGAGACCAACATGTGAACGACGGAACAGCAAAGAAATATATAAAATGGGATTCGCTATACTTGATTGCCTACCAATTCGGCCCTATGTTATATATATCTCATATGCTCTCATATTCCCCTAACAATGGTTTGTCTCCCAAACCAAATGTTCTATACTTTGCTCCAGAAGTTGATCACAAGAATGAATATACATTTAATATAGAATATAGTCGGCAATGGTTCACATTATCAGCCAATCCAGTGACTGAACCATCATTTCAATCATTTCACGGACACAACCTTTAGAGCAATTCTCAAAAAACGCTTTTAATTTGTTGGCATCGATGGTAGTGTAGTGACTATTATGGTATGGTATGTTATGTGTATCATTACCATCTGCTACGTTTGTCAAAGATTTGTGTCTCAAATCAAACACTTAATAAGAGTGCCGATAGCTTATAGCCAGGTATAGGGTATGCATTACTGGAGAGAAAGCGAGTGTGCGGTGCCTTAGCTTAAGGTAATAAAGCGTAAAAATCACACAAATATGCGATGAGAATCATGTCTTACGCTATTGGGTCAGCACTTCATGCATACAATAGCTCTTAACTAACTAACTGTTTAGTATAGCTAAACATACACTCATATTCTGTACTTTATATATATTATCAGATTAAGAGGCAAAACAAATCTGATTCTGCAGATCACTTACCGCCTAATATGCCATCAATGCTATGGTCTTTACGCACGGAGTACTCATTGATGGAAACGTCACTCTCATTACCACTTCTATAGTCAGTGCCTCTATTACTTCCACGTAATACACGGCTTATGGAGCTAACACTGGGCGCTGTATTCTTGTCGCAGATTCCTTCCTATTTACAAATTTTACTCGTTATTAACAGTTTGTTATTTTCTGTAGTTTATAAACAAACGACTAATTGATTGCCTTTAAATAAGTTTATGATATCATATAAAACAAGATCATTTACAAACTAACTGTTCGGACAGTACAGCAGTATATAAGCATAAAATGACATACTTTAACGAGTCTGTCCCTGATTTCCCAGCTGAAAATTCCTGGATTCTCTCTCTTGTATTCCTCAATCTTCTTCTCGACCTCCGGAGTGGCGACTCTTGGTTTACTGCCTCCTATAACTCCGGGACGTATACTTCCAGTCTCTTGATATCTGTTGAGTATTTTAGAGACACATCCGTGAGAGACCCGTAACTGACGGCTTATAACACAGGGTCGCACTCCCGCCGCAGCCATCTCTACGATCTTATATCGGATGTGATTCGGGAGGGGGCGGCCATTGATAAATACACCGCCCAATTGGTTCACACGTCCCTGACCTGGACAATCATTTAATCAGAATTATTGAAAAATTAAATAAGTTTCAAAAACCTTCTATTAAGCTCAGAATTTCCAAATTATGTGAACTCCACTGAGAAGGCATTTCTTGTGAGCAAACTTTGCAAATGTTGTCAAATGTAATACAAGATCGCAAGCTTTGCGACAAATGTTCATACTTTATTATGACTTTAAGAATATTGTCATTAGTAGACAATTAACTGATTTGAATTTATGTAGAAGCCGTTAGGGACATACATTAGGGACATTAACCACACCATACCCTAAATCTTTAGTTAATTAATGCCAAATTTCATTCATCTTTTGCTTCTCAATAGGAATGCTATGAGAGATAGCTCTGACCTTCAACTCCTTAATTATTCTATATGTTTGAGAATTATTGGTTACAATTATATTGAATCTATTATTTGCTTGAAGTTAATGAAAAGTATAGGAATATATTTTCAACAATCTAATAATAGAAGCATAATTTCAATATAGGGCAAAACAAATCTGCTGTAAAAATTCTAAAAATCTTGCAAGCTTTAAAAAGTATTGCTACCAATATTGTAGGTAAGAACACATGTTTGCATAAAAAAAGTAATACTTAAATTTAGTTTCTTATGTCAAAATGAAAATGCCTTTATATTATATTAACTCAAATATAAAGATTTAATTAAGCTTTTACTGACTAAAACAAAGAATATAATTTTGATATAAGATACACTACACAAGCCAGACATTAAAATAGTTTACTGGAGCTTTTATTTTTCTAAAAGTTAATTTCTAATTCTTTGCACACCATTCAGACAATTGTTCAAATTAATATAAGCCTTAAAATTTAATTAACAAAATAAATGCAAATCAATAAAAATTAATTAAAACATAAGAAATGATAAATAGTAAAGAAAATTAAACTCTAACTAGATACATTTGCATTTCAAATATAAGATATAAGGTTTGCTAAACTTTTCTAATTATGACACTTATGGGTAACCCATTTTATTCAATAATAATAACTTTATAACACTTTTGTTCACTTTATTTGTCGCTAAACTTACAAATTTGAAGACCAGTATTGCTTGCATTGCAATTCAGTCTCATTTATTTGATAACAAATTCATACCTTGAAAGGGATATCCGGTAAATAGGGGTCGAATGCTTATAGCACTGGAAACAGACATAACTTTTATAACTTGTGATTCACTTAATAATCGTGATATTTGTGATAATCTTCAATGAATTTTATGGCTCAGAAAATGTTTATATCAGTGGACTGTAAATTCTTGAGGTTTAAGACAATCATTAGAGTTGATTTGGCTGTGTTGCAGCAACTTTACTACATGACAACTAGGGGGGAGGGCTTTACCCTTAACGGCCCACAATGAAGGGCCTGGGCCTGGGATAGGTGCTCCTCACTATGTACTACACCCAGAATACTAGAGAATACTAGTCGTGTCACAGTTGTACAGCACATCTGAACGCTGTGCCTATGATCTTTCACGAAGCACCGATCATATCATAGCAGTGATCATAGCTGTGATCATAGCAATTGTACTTGATCATAGCAATGATGGGCTACCTAATTACGCCCCTGGGTTTCGGGACCGATGTCTCGCCTCAAAACATTTAGAAAGCGACTTAACACGACTACACGTTCCCTATTCACCTACACTTTAATGATGGGCTGTAAAATAATTAAGAGTAGAAAAGCTTACTGTTCTCCCCCTTTGACAATGACCAAGGTAATGGGTAATGGTATGGTAATGGAAAACCTAAGGCGAGTGCAGCAAAAGGTCAACTTTTATCTATTTGTTGCCGAAAGAGATTTCTGAGAAAATTGTCGTCATTTCGATGAGAAAATTGTCCTCTTTTTTGCCTCTATTTGACGACTCGTCAGTCACTGAAAATATATTGTATTATAAGCTTTGATGTCTGACTCTAACAGTAAGTCCTTAGGGATTCTCTGAACACTTTTCAGATTTAACTGAATGTCATATTCATTGTGTAATATCTTATAGTATTAATGAAAAACAATACAAAAACATTTGGTTCGTGAGATATAAACGTTGAGTGAAATTAGATGCGGTTTTGTGTGGCTTTGATGACAACACCTTTACATTCATTTGTCAACTCTTGTTGTTTAGGGGCAACACCTCTGAGCACAACATATGAATATTGAGTGAATTATTTGAATTACTTTTCTGTTTATTCACATTCTTATTGATTTTTGTAGAGATTATAATCACGGGAATAGTGATTGTCTTGAAAGGACAGGAAGAAGAAGTCAATTGATGTGAACAACTGTCTAATAAGAGATTTACTTTATTTAGGAATCATGTTTTATTTACACAGAATCTCATTTGTAAAAAACTAAAACTAGTTGTTTTACTCGAGCTTTCATTGTGTTAAACAGGGAGGAATGGGTGCTGGCAGGAGGTCCCAGTGCTCTGAAGCCCAATGCATTGGTTACAGCAAAGTAGACGCTTTTCTGGTGAGCCCAGCGTTAAAAAGTCTCCCACGACTACCACGACTACCACTTTGCGCTATCGTTGCCGGTAATAGTGAAGGCTATATGAGTAGTAACCTTACAAAACACTAAAAATCATAAATTTTCAAAACTAAAACCAAATTATGAGCGATTGAATCGGCTCTCTATGTAGGGACCCATGAGAAAGTGTTTTGAATGCCATCCTATAAATTATATTCATTATATGAACAAGAAGTTAATTTATGAACACTCGTCAAAATGAAGAATTATCTCTCAGTTAGACAACTATTAATTGAAATTTGAAAATAAAATAAACAGAAGCAAACAGTGCCTGAAGAATGCCTTATTTTAAACCATAGAATATGTCAAGTATTTTATTAAAACTTCCTTCACTTCTCTCAACTCACAGTCGAGGCATAACTGACTTTCAATTAAAAAGTTTTATTACTAAATAGTTTCTTTAGTCTAGTTTTAGTAGTTTAACAGTCAGTTTATAAAAATTTACAAATTCGTTGTGTAGTTACTATTATATTAAGCAAATTTATTGAATAAACTGTCTTTAAATGATTTTAATTTATATTATTAATAACTTAATATTACTCAACAAACTATGTTTTATTTAAGCTTTTATGAACTAATGTCATCAAAAAGTATTAGTAATGAATCAATGACTTCACTGAAAGATCTGTTTTTACAAAATGATAAATAGATAAATCAATATAAATTCAGATTGATTTCGATTGAATGTTAAGATTATATAGAACCTATTATGTTTTCAGATTAATTCAAGTCTATGTGGATTTTTTTCAAAATCAAAAATTTTAAATACTTTTAATGATTTTTAAATATGTAATATAAAAATCTTAATTACAATAAGAAATTATAGACTAATAAAATTAAAATTTTATTGTATTTTTAGCAACTTAAAAACAGAATATTTATTATTATTATTATAACTTATTTATAAATCTGATAATAAAATCTTGTATACAGTGTATAATAATTTATTAATATGTATAATAAAATATTTCTTAAACAAAAAACAGAATTTTCAAATGTGATACTATTTTTAGATAAAATAATATATTAGTAAAAGAATAAGAGAAGTGTAATTGCTTTTAGTTTTCGCAAACCTTTAACTCAAGCATTGACTTCCTCTGCAATTCAAACCTAAGTTATGATTGTCTATAGACTTGTAGTTTGAATATGAAATAAATGTTTGCTTCAAGTTTTGTAGATTGGGTTACACCTCGATTCATAAATCATATTTATAGTTATATTCAATACTTGAATAAATGTGTGATATTTGCGGTATTCTATGCACTATTAGAAAATTATTGTCTAAACATGTTAGACTGTGCTAAAACAATAAAATATTTAGAAAAGTAATCATTTCTTATATTTAAGAAACGAATCATTTTTTGATATTAGAATTAATTTTAAAGAAATCTTAGATTAATTGTATAATCGACTTTTAATAACCATATCTAAACGATATTTAATAATAATTACTAATATGCGGGAACATATAATATTTAACAATTGAATTAAATTCAAATAAAATTGTAAGTAATTTTGATGATTGAAAAGTTTCTTAATTTGTTGATGAGATTCCATATGTTATTGATTGTTATCTTTAGGAACAATAGCAATGAGATGAAAGTAATGAAATATTTATGCAAAAATGCATTCAGATACTGGTCTTATAGAGAGAATTGTGTGATAACTGAACAACTATTTAGAGGTGATATATAAGCGCATATCAGACAAAGACATACAATACATCATCGCTTGCTTTTGATTATTGCCATAAAAATGCGAATACTTTTAAATATGAATGCATTGCTGGTGAAAGCGTATTGAAGAGCGTATGACAATTTATTTTGAACAAATATGTGAGGGGTCACACATTATACTCTCCCGAATTCTGCAGTTAATTGAAAATAAAGCTATGAAATGATGATGTGATGCCGTTATCATGTTATGATGCTCTCCAATATGACTTTCAATGATAGCACATTCTCTCCAAAGCATCTCATATGACAATATATTCTTCGAGGTCTCCAAGGAAACCATTGAGCACTTGTAGGACTAGTGGCAACGGAACGGCCGTTCAGCAAAATTTATTAGTTCGCGTATATTATATAAAAAGTGAAGTCACTGTCAAGTGTAATCATTTTACCAATCATTTCTTAATTTGTCACACTTTTAACATAAATGTAAATGTTTTCTCTCTGATTACTGCTTATTAGTAAAACATCATCTATTCAGTCATTTATAAAACAAATAGAAAATTGAAAATTGAAAAATAATTTATAACAAATAGTGTAATTTAAGTAAACGGACGGCACTTGAGATAAGTGCACACATTGTGGATGATGTCCATAAGAGGGTCCATTTCACTGAATTGGCAATCATATTACGTTTGGTTTAATTGAAACTCATTATACGAGAGAGTGTTATAAAACTATTTGCACAATAATTGTTGTATTTTCATGAAGAGTAGTCACTGATTGGGTCAAACTGTGGCACTTCGACTGGTTGTGCTATTTGCGCCTCTTTGGCGACTGTCGCTCCCTATTCACCGCAAAGCCTCAGTCACCGTCCACCACATCGACCGGTGCACTGACAGCAACCACATCGACACCATCGACAGGCAAGAAGGGGACAGTCATTACATCGGAAACACTCGACAATTCTACCGAAAAATTGATTCAAAAAATATTTGCTAAACAAATGGATACCAAAGAGTTTCGTCGTCGCGGAAAACAAATGGTTGATTACATCGCAGACTATTTAGAGACAATCTCTCAAAGACGAGTCACGCCTGATGTCGAACCCGGATATCTCAAAGATTTTCTTCCAGACTCAGCCCCTAAAAGGTCCGAAGATTGGGACAAGATTATGATTGACTTCGAGAAGTATATAATGCCCGGAGTCACCCATTGGCAGCACCCGAGGTTTCACGCGTACTTCCCGGCCGGCAATTCCTACCCTTCAATCCTCGCAGAAATGCTCTCCGATGGCATCGGATGTGTCGGCTTTTCATGGGTATGAATACCATTTCATTACAAAATACAGTAGTTATCATCATATTTCACATACAATACTGTTTAGCATGAATACAGTTACTGTAAATTACTGTTAAAGTAGAGTTGAAGTAAACTTTGTATAAACTAACAAATACTGTATATCAATGATAAACATCTAATTATACTTATTTAAACGTTTATTTGAAAAGTAATGAAATTACCTTTTAGTGAAATTTATACTTTTTAAATGCATTTTTATTAAAATATCTTATGAATAAATTAAAATTAATTTTTAAGGAAGCGTTTTAATTAGTATTAAATCAATTTGTTTTAGAGGTTACAACTCAATGTTTTAAATTTATAGTATCTTAATTTTTATTGTGTTTCACTTGTTAGACTTTTCAATCTATATGTGAATTAACCATAACTAAATATCGCATTAGCTACGGTAATTAAATACAATATCATAGAATTTTATTTCTTAAATGTACTCGAGATTAACACAATTTTCATTAACTTAAAATTATCATTTCAAAATAAAAAATATTAAGAATGTATTTAGTTGTGTAATTAAAATTAAATTTATTAAATTAAAACAGATTCAATTTTAGTATACAGTATTTGTAACTTTATTTTGCAACATTTAAATAGATTTTTATTATAAATGCCTATAAAATGTATTATAATATGTCTCGTATTTAGGCTTCCAGTCCTGCCTGTACTGAATTGGAGATCATAATGTTAGACTGGATCGGAAAAATGATTGGTTTGCCGGAGGAATTCCTTTGCCTCTCAGATCATAAAAGCAAAGGCGGGGGAGTTATACAGGTATTGCTATAAATCTCATTTAATGTCAACACATCTTATATTACCAAACATTTCATTCAAATAGTTTTTGAATTAAAAATACTTAATATTCAATGTATTTATAATAATAAGAAATCTTCGAAAAGAAATTATTTGATTTTATAACTGAATTAATCAACACATCTTATATTACCAAACATTTAATTCAAATAGTTTTTGAATTAAAAATACTTAATATTAAATGTATTTATAATAATAAGAAATCTTCGAACAGAAATGATTTGATTTTATAACTGAATTAATGCTATTAATTTTAGCCTATGAGATATTAACATAATATGTTATAAAAATAAATGATATTAGCTTTGATTGTGATTTTATTATAAGATCAGAAAATCTTTTATACAAACTGGTACTAAACTTTTTTCATACATTATAATAGTACTTATAATAGCAATATGTCAGTATATTAGTGAGTTGTAAATACAGTATATTAATAAAATAATAATATGATTTACTACTGTATCACTTTATGTCAACATTATTTAATTTTTACATTTTTGTCTACAAATTAGTATTATAAAATGATATTAATAGGAATGTCTATATTATATATTCTCATTAAAAATTAAAAATTAAAAATAATCTGTAAACAGTTACAGTAAATCTACCTGTATGTCACTAAAAAAACTTGAGTTGTATAAATAATAGTGGAGTTTACGTCTAATATAAAAGAGTTGGATATAAATAGTAATGAAAAAGTAAAATCTGACAAAAGAGAGAATGAATTGATGTTAAAGTGAGTGATAATTGAATTCTTTTGCATTGAAGGGCTCAGCGAGTGATTGTGTGTTAGTGTCACTGTTGGCGGCGCGACATAATGCCATCCGAGTCCTCAAACAACAGCAGCCCTTCATAGAGGAAGGCATACTACTCTCGAAATTAATAGGATATTGTTCTAAAGAAGTAAAATAAAAGATTTGTTCACACAATTTGCATGTATTATGTGATTATAGACTATATTCGTTCACATATAAGGCTCACTCGTGTGTGGAGAAGGCAGCGAAAATCGCTTTTATAAAACTCAGGATTCTCGATACGGACCAGAATTTTACGTTAAGGGGAATGCCATTAGAGAAAGCCATGCAAGAGGATCGCGAAATAGGTTTAGTGCCGTTCTTTGTGTCGGCCACTCTCGGCACCACTTCCTGCTGTTCCTTCGATGCAATCAATGAGATCGGACCTGTCTGTCAACGGGAAGGTAAGCCTCCGTTCATAACACATTCATGACTTATAGAGACAAACAATTACCATCATTAATCAATGCTCAATACAATAATGCATATAATTCAATCAATTGATTAACAATATTTTTTTTTAAAAGTATACTATTTGAAAACAGACTAACATTGTTTAAAATTGCATTTACAATCTCGACTCTGATCTAACACATTTTGACATCATAGGAATAAAATATTTTTAAAAAAGTGGTTTAACTTTTATGAGAAGTAATGGCAGTAAATATAAAAAGTGTTTTCTTTTAAAAGAAATAAATTCAATTGATTTTCTAACTTTGTGTGACTTTTTATAAACTAATTTTAGACATTAGAAATGATGACAAATATAGTATAACGTTAGAATTGAATTTTGTAGTTACTATAAAGTTTAGACACGATATGAAAGCATAGATATTAACAGTTGAACATAAGATGAAAGCCATGCAAGAGGATCGCGAAATAGGTTTAGTGCCGTTCTTTGTGTCGGCCACTCTCGGCACCACTTCCTGCTGTTCCTTCGATGCAATCAATGAGATCGGACCTGTCTGTCAACGGGAAGGTAAGCCTCCGTTCATAACACATTCATGACTTATAGAGACAAACAATTACCATCATTAATCAATGCTCAATACAATAATGCATATAATTCAATCAATTGATTAACAATATTTTTTTTAAAAAGTATAATATTTGAAAACAGACTAACATTGTTTAAAATTGCATTTACAATCTCGACTCTGATCTAACACATTTTGACATCATAGGAATAAAATATTTTTTAAAAAGTGGTTTAACTTTTATGAGAAGTAATGGCAGTAAATATAAAAAGTGTTTTCTTTTAAAAGAAATAAATTCAATTGATTTTCTAACTTTGTGTGACAAAATATTTGATTAAAATCTGTAATCTTTACTACTGTTTATATCATATTGCAATCTTAACTTAAAACATCAATGATATTTCAAATCTGTGCTATACTTTCGTATCTATAATTGTCAACTTGTATTCTACTAATAACTTTAACAAAATTAAGTTTTCTATCAGTTTTTAAGTGATCAACAAAAGATTCACTAAATATTTGAACACAAATTTGGTCATTCGTTCTACTTCTAACTAATACAGTACCGTAGTAACTTTTGTTTAATCTTACAATTATGTATAAGGTAATTATCTTGCGATATCTTGTAATTATCATCTACAATAGATGTATATATAACTTAGTTATACACATATATTTACTGATTAGCGGTTTGAATAACTTCTAAATTTCCTTATCTATTAAAATCTGCTGTTATGTTTCAAACAAAAATATAACAAAGATTGTTCAATAAAATCAGATTATTAGAAAATATTTTAGAATCGCCCATTGTAACTTAAATAAAATTTATTTAATAACTCTGTAAATACTTGACAAATCGTGAATACAGTACTAACAAAAATTCCTATATTCCACTTATACTTTAAGATTAGAAATGTACTTTTAAAGTAGCCTTTCTTACTTATCAATATGAATATCGAAATAAACTGATTCACACATTAATTGTATAAAAATGATTTAATTTTTATATCACGGTCATATCAATTAACGAGAATAGCTACTTTAAAAGTACATTTCTTATAAGGTGTTTGGCTTCACGTGGACGCCGCTTATGCTGGCAGTGCTTTCATATGTCCTGAATTTCAATACCTCATGTATGGCGCAGAGGTATGAATTGAATCTATTATATAATACTACAGTAATATAGTGTATAATAATAGAAATGTGATATAATTGACAGTATGCCTCATCATTTAACATGAATCCTAACAAATGGATGTTGGTCAATTTTGATTGCTCTCTGCTCTGGTTAGTCATACATGATATGCATATAAATGGCATTCAAATGGAAATACACATTTCATAGGGTTAAGGATCGGTTCAAACTAACTGAGGCACTGGTAGTCGATCCCCTGTATCTGCAACACAGCTATTCTGAAAAAGCAATTGATTATCGCGTGAGTGATATTAGAGTTGACTTTTGAAGTGAACATCATTTTTCAAAACGTTTCAAAACTTGATGCCCACAGCACTGGGGTATACCTCTCAGCCGTAGGTTCCGAAGCCTTAAACTATGGTTTGTTATTCGCAACTATGGAGTGGAAGGACTGCAAAAGTATATCAGAGAAGTACTCACAAATCAATTAATCAATTAAACACAAATTCATTTTATTTCATTACTTATATTATTTACTTAATGAGAAAATTCAATATAAATTAACGTTTTTTGAATACATGATTGAATGCTTACCATTTGAAAACAAAATACAGTGAACACTGAAATGCACACAAGTGTCAACCGATGCATTCATTTTTCAAATTATTGATTAGTTTAATAAATTAAAAGTTTTAACTTTTATCTTAAACTAATCAAACTAATACAGTAGTATGTTCTTTACATTATAATAGTAATAATAATTAATATAAGTCTAGAAATAAATGAATTTAAAAAATACTTAATAAATAATGAAAAGTGTTGAGTAAATGACTTTAACTTATATGTATAGCACGTAAGACTGGCTAAACGTTTTGAACTTCTTGTAAGAAAAGATGAAAGATTTGAAGTCATGAATGAAGTCCATTTGGGATTAGTTTGCTTTCGTCTGAAGGTAACCATTGTTTGCATTCACTATGAATTGGTTGATCACTAATAGACTATACGTGGTTCAGGGCTCGAACACTATCAACCAGAAGCTGTTGTCGTCGATCAATGCCTCGGGAAAGCTTCATATGGTTCCCGCGTCTCTCAACGACCACTACGTTATCCGGTTCTGTGTCTGCGCCCAACGCGCCACTGACCACGACATCGATCACGCATTTCATGTGATCAGTCAGTTTGCGTCAGACCTGTTTGAGATCATCGAAATGGACACCAAAGCACGCAAACAGGTGGCGGAGGAGCAGAAGGAGAACGTGGAGGACGAGGCCGTGGATGAGGTGTTTATGTTGGACCGCAAGAGGAAAATGAGTCTCAGATATAAACGAAGTTTCTTCGTTCGCATGGTTTCCGACCCTAAGCTCTATAACCCAAAGATAGTCCGCGCCCTCTCTTCCTCTGGTAATACCAGAAGACATACATCAGATCCGGCAGATTCTGACACTAATCTCATTCAATATACAACTCCCGTCTAATGGCTTTTATCCAAACCTCTCACCAATTATCTACTAATGTATCGAAAGTCTCTCCAAATAATTGTTAACTAAAGTTATAATTATATTACTGTTTATTCATATATTGTTGTCTATTATTATTAATCAATCGTTCAATTGTAAGCAAATTAATCATTAGAATAAAATTAGTTTCAAATGTCACGCTTCCCACAAACATACCAAGTACACTTTCTAAAGTTGATCAAACTTGTAGTATTAGTTGAATTATACAACAATTATGATTATATGATGATGGTAAAATCTTTGTGAGTATTAAAACGATAATATGTTGTACCCAATGAAAAAATGGTAATCATTTTTGTGATACAATTCATAATACATTCAATGACTAATCCAGGTAATGTTCATTTATAATATCTATACATTACTATAATATATCGGGTGTCCCATCGTATCAGTACGACTTTTAAATTAAATTAAAAATATTTACAATTATATTTTACTAACAAAAACTATACCAAAATGTTGGAAATTTATTAAAATTTTATGTGGAATTCATAAAATATTCACCAAATGCCTACCCTGGTCATAATGTCATAGCGCTCTAAGAAATTCACGATTTTTTTTGCATAAAAAACAGACATGCATGCAGTAAAACTAAAATAATGACCAGGGTAGGCATTTGGTGAATATTTTATGAATTCCACATAAAATGTTAATAAATTTCCAACATTGTGGTATAGTTTTTGTTATCAAAATATAATTGTAAATATTTAAAAATTAATTTAGAAGTCGTACTGATACGATGGGACACCCGATATAATGACTGTAATTACTATTACTATACACTGTATTATTAAAATATTATACAAGTTCTTAAATAACTTAAGCTTATCATACAGTAACGGAATTCATTAGGAAATTGCTTTTCATCCAAAGCTTCCTAAATATTGAGCACAAGTGCAGGTAATTGAGTGTTCAGTGAATCATACATTCATCTCAAATTGAATCCGATTCTGGATTTCATTGTATTTCGTGTGATTGTCTGCTTCAATGTCATCAATGTTTGCAATATATTGTCAAATAAGACAATGAATGGACACGGATTACTAAACTATGTTTAAGTGCTGACAGTATCTTATTTGGACGTCGGATCAGATCTTTTTGTATCCTTTCGTAATCCGTTGAGAGGTTTAGAGCATTGACTGCCATCTGTGACACGAATGCAAACATATTTGACCGGTAAATGTGTCAAACATTTCAATGACTGTTAACTTGAAATGCATTTAAATGCCAATCAATTGACACAAACAGTGAACCCATTAATGATAATCAATAGTAAAAGCATTTCATACAAAGACCTCAAGACATGCAGATATTTGTTACGATTCTCTTATNTTTAGTTTTCACTAGTAAGTGATAATAAAATTAGTTTGTAAATGTAAGTTAGCTTAATATAATATAATAATTAAATATTGAATTAACGACTGCACACAATCACGGTAAATTCACACATTAAAATCAAGTTAAGAAATTTTGATTATAATTTTTAAAAATAAATTTCCTTGTAAATTTAACTTATAATGTTGGTGACAGTATAGTGTTCATCAGTGTTTTTTAAACTAACCAGCAAGGGCACTTTCTAGGGTTTGTCTCAAAATTTTATGCCAACTATAAGTTACTGTAAGATGAATATTTATGAGAATATTCAACTCAATTTAACTTGGTATATTTTTAATGAATGTTATTTTGCTTCGAATATTTATATAATTATACCAATATATTTACCATGGGTAACTTATTAAACAAAATTAATTTTTACAAAATATTTCTCGAATATCTATAATTTACAAGACTTACCAAATTCTTAGTCTTTAGTGCGGAAACACATACTAGGAATGGCATTACAATATTGTGTTATAATAGGTAGAGTACCTGTCATTTATTACAAATGCTACTATCGGTCATATACCTTATTAATTACATGAATATTAATCAATTGAATAATTCTTTTATTTTTCAAAATTAACAAAATATACAATAAATGCATTTAATGTTCAGTGAAATGACTGATTTCGCTATAATTGGGATAACTATTTGCAAACTCATTCGCTTTATTGCCCAAATCGTCGTATAATTTTAAGTCTATTTAATGGAAAATTAAAATAAACACTACTTTTAAAGCATTTCGATCTTAAATTTACCGTTTTGATCATAATGGACATCTAATAGCCATAAGCCTATTATTGAACAAGTATTTATTAAACTTTGAATTACCGCAGTATTTAAATGTCAATTAAACCTTTAGCCGGAGCTACAGTTTGTTGAAACCCCCAATTCTTATGAGACGGGTTGTTCAGAAGCCACTCCATGTGTTCGTATTTAAATCGATTGAGACCGACATCGATAATACCGCCAATCATTCGTCTGATCTTTGATTACAAATTTGCAGTTAATTATAATCATAATAACCACAGGTTATGATTAAACAATACCTGATTATATAGAAAAGATTTGCATTTGATCTCAAAACTCCATAAACTTATTGGAAGACTATTTCGTTCTACTCACAGTCATTAACTTACGTTTGAAAAACTAACCAAATGTAACTCAAGTTGCTAACAAAATAAACACAGGGCTAAATCGACAAACAGTGGTAAACCAACACGAAAACCACATTTGCTACGGAAATCGTGTTTCCCTTTAAATAAGTTCACAACTCTTAACATCTCATCCGCATTGACAGGACCTCTGAATCCATTTCCATAATACAGATATCGGTATAAGTTATCAAATAAATGGTCTATTCATCGCTTATAAGACATCATTTACCTAATTATATGACATTTGTTTAGTTCCCAAATCGGGAGATAACAGTCCAAGCATTTGATGCTTGGATCCACTGGCGAGTTCACAACTGCCAACCGATACAAATAGGTCCGCCATTTGGCGTCCGACCGACTGTTGAAGCCGTTGGCAACCAATTGAGTGCTCAATAGTCTGCAAAACAATATATTCAAGACCAAGTTATGTCTTCATGTGAGACATGCCTTATCTCGTGTCCATTCTTCGCCAGATATGTGTTCACAGACTGTGTTATAAACGATGGCTTATATCTGGTGTCAGTGGATGGATGGGTGAGATCCAAGTGAGCCGTATTGACCACAGCGTGGACTCCACTGTCTGTGCGACTACTGATGGCAAGTCTGGCGCCATATATGGGTCGCAGTTGTCTTTGGATGGCATTCTTGGAGAGAGAAGTCACTCCACATTGTAATCAATCACTGTTTTGCCATTAATGCACACATTCTTCATATGATTGTCTCATATCTGCACTCATTTTACCTCAATTTGGTACTGAATTGAATGGTCAGTCTCTGCAGATATGGTGTCATCTCTGTTGCTCTGTCTCTGAAGTCCTCTGCAAACGGATCCACAAATGAATTGAATCATGAAAACAATGTTTGGTTAGATTTACGTGTAATTGGTTCCCATATAAGAGAATCGTAACAAATATCTGCATGTCTTGAGGTCTTTGTATGAAATGCTTTTACTATTGATTATCATTAATGGGTTCACTGTTTGTGTCAATTGATTGGCATTTAAATGCATTTCAAGTTAA